ATTTAGCCCTATGTGACGTCTGTTTTTATATTGTTTGTCAGCACACATAGCCTAAGTTACTATGTATCTGGATCAACTAGCCGAGTAGACAAACATAAATGTTTATTCATTACCATGCTGAAAATAAGTCAATGTTAGCTGATGCTAACTGTCTAGCTAACGAGCTTGCTTGTGCTAAATTTAGGTCATTTTTAAAAAATAAATTCCAAATATTTTTATTCACCCACCTAGATAGATTACATCTGAGGGGAAAAGAAAGGCTGTGATGTTCAGAACATGGTAACTACAGTAATGATCAAAGTGGGAAGTGATGCCCTCTGGGGGCATTTGGCCAGGTTTGAGAAGAAAAAAATCATTATGAAAATCTAATTATATTTTCCTTATTATATTCATTATTTCCTTATTGGTTATTTTGGGGAAATCCCAGGTATTTTGAGCAGTAGGATTATAAAAAAAAATATGCTAATATGAAATTAAATGATAAAAGTAGCCTATATAAAACTGCAAAATAAACATTAATCTATCAGTACTTTTTACTTTTTTAAGTACATAAAAATCAAGTACTTTTGTACTTTCACTCAAGTAAAATTGAAAACGGAGTACTTTATTTTATTATACGGATCTGTACTTTTACTCAAGTACCTGATTTCACTGGAAATCAATAATATAAATTCACTGGAATTAATGTCACAATGCAAAAAATATCACAAAATAGCCTTTATTTCTTTGTCTTTTTTATTTTATTCATTTATTTATTTTGTGTAATTTTGTATAATTCCTTTAATACCCATAGGTGTGCAGCTTATTAATTTGAGGCATTCATTAGCATCCCTTTCATATGCTTCCCCTGAATCAACATCATGTGAAATGATCATTATAAATGATCCCAGCACGTTGTGATTGGCACAGCCTGCATTGCAGACTGAGTTAATAAATGGACTTAGATACTGTTTCCCATCATCCACTGGAGGGTGCAAAATCACACTGTCAAACACATACAGGTGCATCTCAATAAATTAGAATGTCGTGGGAAAAGTTTGCCTGCTGGGCTTCTTTCTGCGCTCCAAACACCTCTCTGAACAGGTTAGTTTTGGTTTCCCGCACCTCCTGAACCAATAACAGTCAATGTTTCCATCTTTCCTGCAATGTCTCAACTTTCCTGCCATCTGACATTAGTTAATGGCAGATAATAATTGTATAGTTAAAGTGGCAGCAGCTGGAGATACAGGTAGCTAGTATTCTTATTAACATGATGCACATTTTTTTCAAGTTGCATTAAAAGTCACACATACAGTGACCTGAATATGCCCTTTCTTTAATGAGTATGTTTTTAATTCCTGGAGTAGAAAAAAAGCAAAAATAGTGCTTCAATTAGAACATTAGATCTATTTTTTTCACTGCTTAAAATAGTAAAACCGTTGGCCACCAAATCAAAGTCATGTGGTGCAACCAAAATGCTGAAAAAAACAAGACAGGAAATTATTTCATGACTGTGTGTCAAGGTCAATAAGTTTTCAAATCTGTACTTTTTATGACAAGGCAAGGTTAGCTCAGGTTGTAAAATGTCATGCGGTGTAACACCCCAAAATGTATTGATATTTGTGAATTAATAACTCATCCTCTTTGTATGAAAAAAAACTTTTACAAAAGATGTACTGTATTTAAAAACTTTGAAATTATTATTAAGAAGTGTACACTCAAATGCATTCAGTTGTTTACTTGATGGTCACACCAAATGACATTGCAATGGATTTTGTTTTGTTGAAAATGGCATAAAAGCTGAAACCAAATGAAACCAATGTGACTCCAAAGTGGAAAACGTGTTTTAAACTAGATTAATAAAAGATTTTCCTTTGCTTTACAATGGACATTCTTATTTGTTATTGATCAAAACAAAACGGTACACAGAAAAACAAAAGGTGTAGAATTTACTTTGAAACTATTTTCACTCTGAAATTTCCAGTTAAATTTACAAATAATTAAATAAATAAATAATTATTTATTCACATATTTACATAAAATATCAGATAGCTACGGAGCCCCGCACATGACATGCAAGAAAAAATAAATAAAACGTGCTCACGATTACTATTTCGTTCCCTCGATTTGCTAAATTGTTTGCACAATTTACTAATTCATTCTCTCGATTTATAAATCGTGTGCAAGATTTAGCAAATCGAGGGAACAAATTAGTAAATCGTGCACACAATTTATAAATCGAGGGAACAAAATAGTAAATCGTGCACACAATTTATAAATCGACCTCTGGACGTTTGTGCGCTCGGGTCAGGGTGTTTGTATGGCTGATTGAGTGGGCAGTAGACGTGGACGTGTCACCATGGCTCTGGGTGCGATGTGGAGCCGCGTTAAAAATGTGTGCCAACAGAACGGCCTCTTGATCTTGTCAGTGTTGGCCGTGGTTATCGGATGCCTGCTGGGCTTCTTTCTGCGCTCCAAACACCTCTCTGAACAGGTTAGTTTTGGTTTCCCACACCTCCTGAACCAATAACAGTCAATGTTTCCATCTTTCCTGCAATGTCTCAACTTTCCTGCCATCTGACATTAGTTAATGGCAGATAATAATTGTATAGCTAAAGTGGCAGCAGCTGGAGATACAGGTAGCTAGTATTCTTATTAACATGATGCACATTTTTTTCAAGTTGCATTAAAAGTCACACATACAGTGACCTGAATATGCCCTTTTTTAATGAGTATGTTTTTAATTCCTGGAGTAGAAAAAAAGCAAAAATAGTGCTTCAATTAGAACATTAGATCTATTTTTTTTCACTGCTTAAAATAGTAAAACCGTTGGCCACCAAATCAAAGTCATGTGGTGCAACCAAAATGCTGAAAAAAACAAGACAGGAAATTATTTCATGACTGTGTGTCAAGGTCAATAAGTTTTCAAATCTGTACTTTTTATGACAAGGCAAGGTTAGCTCAGGTTGTAAAATGTCATGCGGTGTAACACCCCAAAATGTATTGATATTTGTGAATTAATAACTCATCCTCTTTGTATGAAGAAAAACTTTTACAAAAGATGTACTGTATTTCAAAACTTTGAAATTATTATTAAGAAGTGTACACTCAAATGCATTCAGTTGTTTACTTGATGGTCACACCAAATGACATTGCAATGGATTTTGTTTTGTTGAAAATGGTATAAAAGCTGAAACCAAATGAAACCAATGTGACTGCAAAGTGGAAAACGTGTTTTAAACTAGATTAATAAAAGATTTTCCTTTGCTTTACAATGGACATTCTTATTTGTTATTGATCAAAACAAAACGGTACACAGAAAAACAAAAGGTGTAGAATTTACTTTGAAACTATTTTCACTCTGAAATTTCCAGTTACATTTACAAATAATTAAATAAATAAAAAAATAATTATTTATTCACATATTTACATAAAATATCAGATAGCTACGGAGCCCCGCACATGACATGCAAGAAAAAATAAATAAAACGTGCTCACGATTACTATTTCGTTCCCTCGATTTGCTAAATTGTTCGCACAATTTACTAATTCGTTCTCTCGATTTATAAATCGTGTGCAAGATTTAGCAAATCGAGGGAACAAATTAGTAAATCGTGCGCACAATTTATAAATCGAGGGAACAAATTAGTAAATCGTGCACACAATTTATAAATCGAGGGAACAAAATAGTAAATCGTGCACACAATTTATAAATCGAGGGAACAAAATAGTAAATCGTGCACACAATTTATAAATCGATGGAACAAATTTG